GATTCTATTACGAAAATCAAGATTTTTGCATTTTTTGCCGTCGCATTGTTTTGAAACTTATTCGGTCAAATTTTATGGTAAAGAGAAACTTACCGCGAGGATTTTGAGCATAAATATGATTGAATTGGATGAAAACTCGCAAAATTATCCAACGATAAAAGTTCGTGTATAGTACTGATATAGTACTATATATGTAACTTGTACAGTTTTGCTTTAATTTTTGCTCACTATTTGCATAGAAAGCAAATTATAACAGACCATAGATGATAGACCCTTATCCAGTGCTCTCATCAGTTTATTATAAGTAATAGCATGGCTTGAGGGAGATTAGTGATTAAATCACAGGGGGTCCAACTAAGAGCTGTGTTATGAATATGAATAAAACATTAATTAAACGTAATATGAATAAAACATCATAACGTAATATATTTAAATTATTGCACTTACTTGTATAAATCATAAGAGCTTTTATTTGCAGTGAATAGCTTTTAACAGGGCGCTTATACACGCTCAGAAAATCGCTCAGAAACACTTGATTCGAACGATTGTTCAAATATGGCGAATAAATTGACAAAACGAAAATATTACATGACGGTCCAACGAAAATAACAGCAAGGATTGCGGGCGTGAGCGGAAGGCGAGGGTAATATATATTAATAGAAGGGATGAAACACCGGTAATGCGATCGTGTGATGTGTTCCATAAGTAGCCTGTTCTCTCGGAAAATTCCAAAACGCCTCCTGCCAACTCCAACAACGTCTAAGCGCTTAATTAATGAAAATAAACAATGTTTAGCTATACCGGCTAATATGAAATGTTTAAATGTAGCGACCAACGTTTTTTTTTTACATTATTTAGTTTTATTATTATTTCGTCATACGTCACGAGAACAGGCTACTTATGGAACACATCTCGCGATAATGGCCAAGAATGCTCGCTGTTATAAATCACATAAATTAGATTGATCAGTGCTTTTTTGGTAATGACTAGGCTTGTTCATGTAAGAGAACATCGACTGAGCCTTAAAACCCCCACAAAAAGCTTAAACGGGTAGTCTAGAAGCATTTTAAAAAGTCACGTGATATTTGTTTCATCCCTTCTATTTATTTCTTCCCTCGCCTTTTCGCTTGCTCGCGCGCCCGCAATCCTTGCTGTTACTTTCGTTGGAACGTCATGTAATATTTTCGTTTTGTCAATTTATTCGCCATATTTGAACAATCGTTCGAATCAAAATGTTTCTGAGCGATTTTCTGAGCGTGTATAAGCGCCTTGTTAAAAGCTATTCACTGCAAATACAAGCTCTTATGATTTATACAAGTAAGTGCAATAATTTAAATATATTACGTTATGATGTTTTATTCATATTACGTTTAATTAATGTTTTATTCATATTCATAACACAACTCTTTAGTTGGACCCCCTGTGATTAAATGGCCCAGAAACCCGAGGCAGGTTTGCGGAATCCCTGAGGGCGAAGCCCTAGGGAATTCCGCAAACCTGCCGAGGGTAAGGGGTCATTTAATCACTAATCTCCCGAAAAGCCATGCTATTAGTTTGTAATAGCATAGTTGCGCTCCCATTTAAAAATGGACAAACATGCCCTACTTGGAATCAGCGTATTTAAGCTAAAACATTTGCTTCATTGCTTGTGGGATGTAAAAGCTTGTTGCACATGCGCACTTTTTACGCTTTAATCGGTTACGCATGCGCAATCTATCATTTAACGTACCACAACAAAAACGCTAAATATATTAGTATAAAATTGGAGACTGCACATGCGTAATTTAAATGATGCGGCAACTCAGGGATCGGATGATAGACTATTGACGGCTCTGAGCCAACTGTTGCTGTTCCTTGCACGATTATGTGCGTGAGGCACTTGCCTAATGCGTAGTCGTCAGGGAGACAAAGGTGTGACCCTTGGTAACGGGCGATTAGTTCTAATCGCCCGCTCTAGCGGGCGATTAGAACCGCCCGCTACAGCGGGCGATTAGTTAGTAATCGACCCTGTTGAAACAAAAGAAACCCGGGCAACTATGCTATTACTTCTCTAACAAGCAAGAAAGGGGGGGGGTACATAACAGTTCATTTTTCATAATTATGAGGACAGAGCAGATGATGATGAAAGATGCAAGTATAAAACACCATTCACAAGACTAGATGTTAACATAGCACAGTATTTCTGGCAATAAAACGCTCCAACTGACCAACTGACCATTTCACACGAACTTTTATCGCTGGATAATTTTGCGAGTTTTCATCCAATTCAATCATATGTATGCTCAAAATCTTCGCGGTACGTTTCTCTTTACCATAAAATTTGACCGAATAAGTTTCAAAACAATGCGACGGCAAAAAATGCAAAACTCTTGATTTTCGTAATAGAATCTATAGTCTTTTTGCCCTCTTGTACCGCCATCTTGGATTTATCATGTAGGCCCCGCCTGCGCTAGGTATGCGTTAGCAATCTAGATCTCCTATATCTATCGGTACGCCCATGACTTTGCTGTTTGCTTGCACGAATTGTTTTTCTCTGACGTAATGGCTGCACGAATTTTTTTTACAGGCATTTTTCTTTGCACGAATTTTTTTTTGGGAATTTTCACCCCCCCCCCCTCCCGGGATTTCTAATGGTCCGCCCCTTAAATCGTTAATTGACTTCGAGTTAAGCCCTCGGCGAAAAAGGGCGTGGCAGGGGCTTAACTCGAAAAGGGCTTAACTCGAAAAGGGCTTAACTCAAAAAGGGCTTAACTCGAAAAGGGCTTAACTCGGAGGGCTTAACTCGAAAAATACCTGCCCCCATCAAACCTATTGTTTTCTCTCTGCATTATATCAGCGAATGTCGAGAAGTTTTAACGTTCTTCTGAAAAACGGGAGCGGTCTTTTTTGATTGTAGGGAAATTCCCAGGGGTAAATGTTTATATGGGCTAAATAGCACACATCATTATTAAAAATAATGCAGCGTGCACACAGCATTATTAAGAGCCTGTCTCTGTAAAAACCGCCCGCTCGAATTTCATTTCAAACATGATCTTCGCTAAAACTCTGGCAACTGGAAGGCTTTACCAAACATATAAACAGTCTCGGTTTGGTTGAAAACGATTTTCCAGTCGCGCTGCAAATAACGAAATATTTCCCCCCTTCAAGGCCTGTTGGTCCGGACGTCTCGAAAATTGAAAATTACGCATTTTTCATTGATCCGTAAAATATTATATTCGCGTCAACTAGCAATGAATTTTATATCATTTCACTCATGAAACTTTCTAGTTTTCTTGAAGAAGAGGAATTTTTACCTAATATTAGTTGTAAAGGAAAAATTAAGCACAGTGTAAACCCTACTTATGACTATAAATCAAAGAGTGGAAATGGCCTTGATTTAGATTCTATTTTTCAAACTTTGGGACCTTGTCAATCGCTCGGGCCTATTTTTCAAGGAAGTATAGTCCTTTGTTGGCAAATATATGCAAAAAACCCTGTACGATTTCAGTATTTCAAAAGTTATGGCCGTTTGTATCAACACACATGCGTGTATTTGCGGTGAGTCGTCATATTGTAAAATCACTCTATCTCGTGCAGATTCTAACTTAAATGCAACAATATACAGCTTATCTCGTTACTATAAACTCAAGTTTATTTCCTTTTTAAGTCAATTTCCAATTCCTCACATAGCCGATCCCATCATTAAACACAATAGTACATGTCCTTCTCTTCCTCTTGATCTGTCCGACCTTGGTTGTTTCAGGTTGTTTCGAAACGTTACGTTGCTCACACTTCGCATATGTAAATATCCTTTCGAAACAGAATTTGTTCGAAAATGTTATGGAGCGATGAGTCGTCATATTGTAAAATCACTCAATATCGAGACATAAATACAACAATGTACAGCAGCTTCTCTGCTTTAGTCAAGATTAATTACAACTTGTATCGCGTGACCGAAATGGCGAAATGTACAAGCTTTGCACCGCTAATAATAGAACTACTTTGTTTACGACTTTTTCGGTGGGTGTAGATAAAAGGCGGACGGATAAAAGGCGGACGGCGGACCGCGGAGCATTTTTATCAGCACATGATTTCCACCGCAACTAATTATAATACCCCAAATTAAAGTATACCAGCCTTAGATCTGTGAAATGAATATGTTTTCACCTGTTTGAATTTTTAGCAATTGAATTTAATTTAATCAGCATTCAATACATATGTATGATAGGAGGCTATTCACGTCTTTCGCGTGAAACTTTTGGAAATATTGTAAAAAACCGCCTTAGTACGTTTTGGTGCTTCTGTATATAACTGCCCAACACTGGCATTGAATTAAAATATTATTAGGCGGGGCTATTACATGGCATTCACTTGCTATCATTTTCATACTTTAAATTGTGCTGACTTGGCTTTTTTTATAACGAAAATAATCCCGGGCCCGTTTTACTTAGTTTGAGGTTAACAAGTAGCCAAAGTCCATTCATGTGAGTGCTTACACATCACTATTCCACTGTATATAAATGTAGAACGAAATTATAACCTTCCCTAAGTCCTTCAAGTACATAATAGAATACCCAATATTTACGCGGCCCAACTTACATTGCCCAAGTTGAC